CAATTTACGTGTTCTCTACAGATGAAATAGCCTGTGCAGATCCAAAAAAATGTGACGAGTTCTGTAACAATGAGGCAGGATGTAGTAACTTCGCTTATCCATTACTGGTACTGCGACTTTTACCGAGAGGTAAGTGACTCGGATAAATACCATGATGTTTAAAATGTTAAAATGATGAATCTATTATTCTATTTTATGATATGAAGCTTTTGTCCAGAATTAGTAAGTTTTAAACTAGACGAAAATCACTTTTCATATGCGAAGTCTCCATACAAACATGTCAATATTTCATCACCTCTAGCTCTTTGTAAACACTACTACAATACAATGTGCATGCTTTGTACAACATATGTCTTGTTATAAGTAGTAACTAGATTTGAAACAACGATAAAGGATGTTAGATTAAAAAGATTGTTAGCAGCTTCGTATTGATTAGCTTGATGTTATTTTTTAGGTTTGAAAGGACTAATGTTGGCCGCTCTATTAGCAGCTCTCATGAGTTCACTGACATCCATTTTAAACAGTGCAAGCGCAATAATGACAATGGACATATGGCGTCAGTTCCGGAAACAAGCTTCTCAAGCCGAGCTCATGATTGTAGGCAGGGTAACAGTTCTGATACTAGTTGGCATCAGTATAATCTGGTTACCTATCTTAGAAGCAGTAGAGGGAGGAATGTTCTGGTTTTACATGCAGGCTATCCGGTCATATTTGATACCACCTATGTGCGTTTTATTTCTTCTTGCATTTTTCTGGAAAAGACTAACGGAACAGGCAAGTATGATACATGTTTTGTATTTACATGGAAAGTAAACAGGTACTCGGGTGTAATAAGACAATCTCTAAACTTTGCCTTTGAACATTACCATATATTTAATCAGGTTTGTTTTCCAAACGTCGGTTTACATTTAAAAGCACCGCAAAGAGTAAATTCCAATGTGTTTGCATCCGTCGGGTGATTAACATTACACAAACGCAACTCTGTGATGTAAATTTAAACAAAAAAATTGTCACATCATCATCATCATGTAACCTCTGAACTCTTTGTTCATTGTTTTCCAGGGAGCATTTTGGGGTTTGATGTTAAGTTTAGTAGTTGGCATCGTGAGAATGGCGTTAGACTTCACCTATGTAGCGCCAGTGTGTGGTAGTGGAGAACCAGATAATAGACCAGCTATCGTCAAGGATATAGACTTTCTTCACTTTGCCGCCATCTTGGCTATATTTAGTTTCATTGCTATGTTTGTAATCAGCATGTTTACCAAACCAAGACCGGAAAGAAAAGTATGTTTATCTAGTATCATATTTTGCTTTGTAAGGTACATAAACGAGAACAAGAAAATAATATTTAATTAATGAATATAAAAAGCTGTTCTGGTAATTTAAAGAGGTAAACCGTTTAACACTTGTTTGTGCTTTTTTTGTCAGTAATCATCCCATCTCATCTTTTCATACGAATAAATAACAACATTTCGTTTAATAATTGAATCCGTCAATTTAGATATTGCATTTTGCATCAAGATATAATCAGCAAATGCATTTAACATAATGATGGATAACAAAGTAAGAAGATATCTAGGGGTAATCAAAAAATTAGAAGTCAAATACCGAAAACACTGATGTAGAGTCCAAAAATACCACATAGAAATCTACAGAATATGCAAAAGAAAAGAAAAAAACAAAACAAAAACAAAAAACAGACAAACAGTTGACAAATCACAATACTGAAAATAAAGATTGAGCGATACGAAACCCATCGCAACTGGGGGTACACTCAAAAGCCTAGGAATGTTAAGCAATTCCTACTTAACTAGTGAAAACCTGTCATGTACTCATGTTGTGATGGTTGATTATAGTAATAAACAAGGGAATAAGTACATGAACGGAACAGAATAAGATGTAATATGTACTATGCAATGTTTCAGTTAAGACGTGTTACATTTTGGACAAAAAATGACAAGGAAGAACCAGAACTATCGTCAGAGGACGACGAAGAAAACGAGAGAGAAAAAGAAAGGAAAAATAGAGAAAACGATGACGGTACCGAAAGTAAATTGATATTTCAATAGGCTTATTGAAGATATTTAGTAAATTTGTATTTCAGAAAAATAATACTTTTACTTATCTGTAGAGTATAAACAAATAAAAAGTCGTTTTTGGGACATCGTATAGCAATATTACTTTTGAATGCACAACACTTATTAAACTGATAATATGAATTAGTCATTGTGCGCTCAAAAGGTAAAGTAAAAAACACAATCCATGAAACAACAACAACTGCCGAAACGAGTCTTAATATTGAGCCTCATATCGTCAGCCTTAATCAAATCAACTACACAGGTCCCTGCATTGTAGTTACTGTATTGTCCACTTTAATTTAAATATCCCAATCCTTCATTAAAACGTTTCTTGCTTGATAAGATTTCGAAAGTTCAAAACATATGTCTATCATAAAACCAAGATACAAAGTAAATCCTGACGTAAGTACTGTAGTAAACATTGTCAGCCACACCGTCAATGGTTGTCATCGTTCATGTCATATCTTTTAAGGTTTTATTTGTCATTTGGAGAACTAAGTATTGATGACAATTTCTGTTTCTTTTTAATCTATGTACAACTTATTTTAAGACTGGGAACGATCTAGATCATGACATGTTGAATGGACACCTGTCTAAGAATGGGAACGATCTCGATAATGACCTGTTGAATGGATACCTGTCTATTCTTGATAAAATATCATGTTAACCTCTAGATATCGTTTGGTTATTTGTGTCGTATGACAGCTGTCTAATAGACTTGGAAAAAACATCTTCCTCTATTCATTATTGTCATAATTTTCTCAGAATAGTAATTAACAATTAAAACTAAATTATTTTTAAAAATTTAGTAGTATTCAATAGTATTACGTATTTATACAAACCCATATCATTACACAATTTTATCTCCACAGATGATGGCATGGGATGGAGACTTAGAAAAGCCTGCAAAGACTGGGTTTGTGGAACAGTTGAAGATTCTAAAAAATACCTGACTCATGAAGAACAGCTAAAATTGCGTCAAAAAATGACGTCACTAGAGGAGAAGCCACTTTATCGAAAATTATTAAACATAGCTGCAATATTAGTTGCGATATTTACTACATTTTTAATTGGATTTTTCTATTAGTTTTTTAGTTTTTTAAAAGTGATATAGTTAATGCACAATACAAATACTTATTTTTGGAAATAAAAATATCCGACCTGTATTTAACATTGTTCATATGTGTTATATTGGCGTTTCGAAAGAGTAAGTCTCTGTCTATTCATCTAAACTGTTTAACCTTCGTCACTTGAGTAACCTTGTTATGGAATCAAGGTAAATGTTATAATTTTAGTTAGAGGTTTATAACGATTTGTCATTATTATCAAAATAAACCGATTGTTAAGCAACACTTAAAACTTTCGCATGAAATCTACAGCTTATCAGAATGTCAAAAATATGGTTTACACAATAAATGGATACCTCCAAAATGTAGAAAATGCAAATGTGTCAAGCTGTATTGAGAATATACCTCGTGACCTACAAGATGAAACTTTTTTTTTTGTAAAGAGAACAAATTGCAACTTGCAAAAAAACACAGATTCTCAAATACAGAGTTATGTTGTCATGAAGTACACAATGTATGCCATGCACAAATGTTCATACGCTAGAAACTTATGGTATATATACTGATGTTAATGAGGTCAAATAACTATACAATAGCCAGTCTTTCTGCGATGCTATCATTGGCTTAACCAAAGTTTAGTTTTGAAAAAGAGAACCGATATTAAGCTTGCTGTCAAAAAATCTAGACATCATCTGATTGTAAGTTTGTCGTTTATCTAAGAGATAACTGTTTTGTATTTGAAGCTTTGCTGACGTCCATCGGTAGTTTTACTGTCGCAAATTAAGTTTACCTGGCGACGCGTAGCGGAAACAGGTAAACGGATATTTGCGACAGTAAAACTAACGATGGACGTCCGCAAAGCTTCAAATACAATACAGTTATCTCTTTTATAATGCAAAATAATCAAATCATTCAATTTTAGTCATTATTTCGGTGTAAAATGTTCATTAAACGAAAATTCCACGAAATGATATTATCTTCTTTCGCACCCATATCCAGAAATCAACGCCACTTTGCTTATTTGAATATTATACTAAAGAAATCGGATACGGGTCACGGAAATTATATTGAAATGATAGGGAATTTTGAAAAAAAGTGTCTGTTTTAACGTTAATTTAAGTGATAAACAGGTTGCGGGGACAGAAAATAAATATACACAACAATATACACCATTTAGACGAAACATAATGACTGTCGTTGCAAAAATCAAGGTTCCTGAGCTATCTTAAAAATCGAAGCGAGAGGCTTTTAACATTGCAGTATAAAATACAGGCTAAAATGGCTGAAATGTCAAATTTGCAAACTTCGTGTTGAAAATTGGCTAACAAGGTCATTACAAAAACAGGTTCGGCGGGGATGAAACTTGAAACTTGAATGTCCAAAGAATAAGCAAGTCCCAACCTTGTATGTGTAGTCGTTGAACTCTAGGTTCCCACGTAAAGTTAAAATGCCCCTATTTCAAGAAGAATAAACTCACGAAAACACGAAAAATTCACTAAATTCGCGTTCATTGTTTTGATTTTGACCGCCTGAAAACTTTACGGAAATATCAGAGTGATTATAAACAAGGACTCTGTGACGGGCAACTTATAATATCCGTGTTTTAAAGATTTTAATGATATCAAGCCAGTCCAGTTCAAACTAGTATCACGTGGTACAATTCTCATTTACATATTATGAATATTAATTAGCAAAAGTACTACTAATTTCTGGCTATGGCAAAAATAGATGACGTCATATGTATGTTTCCGGTGTCAAACGTAACACCGGGCGTGTAATGGCTTCTTGTCCGCCTCAGAATGTAATGAGGTTTGATAAAAAGAAGATTTCTAGGTGCAAACACTGAGTTTTTTTTTGTTTTTTTATTGGAGAATTTACATGCCTATACATTCCGGAATTCAAAATGTCGGCTCCCCTTTGTTACAGACAGGGAGATAGAAAATTTTGCGTTGATTGTCATCCAATCAGAACCATTGAAACAAAATAAATGCATTAGAAATGTGTATGTTAACATATCATTATATTGCTGGCAACATATTTCTTTTTTCAACGTTACGACCTTTTTTCACAAGAGTCAAGGAGACTAGTTACATTCTATTTGGATATGGATAATTTGTTCATGCTGGATACCATTGACATCTCTTGTACGACAAATGACTTGTAGAACTTTGAAATAATCATTTGTGTTTTTATACATTATACTTTTTGCATCATACATGTTCATTTTAATATTCCACGAAAGAAATAGATTGACTAATATCCTACATCTCCTTTTATTCATAGGGTGAAACCCTTTTTAATTCCTAATTAAACCAGTTAATGGAACAATTTCATATAAGTTTCGATATCGCGTATGAAGGTTATCATTTTGATTATCATTGTCGTTTACTTAACTGTAACACAATTTAGATGGTAGATATACATGGCATTATTTGTCTAGACCTATAATCACTTATCACAGTTAAAAATAAAAATGCCCTACTTAAAACGATCCAAATATGGTGGACATGTTAGCAACGGAAGACTATGTCACCATTGCCGTGTATTTTGGAGTTGTGTTGGCTGTTGGACTTTGGGTAAATAAACATAAGCCATAATGTTTTATGATAATTATGTTATTTGTTTTTATAAACGTCATCTATGCAATAACATTTAAATTACACTAACAATGCTTAGTTAAGCAATTATCTCATGAAACTATTTTGTGTCTAACGTTCAAAATGCCTGAACTATGTATGCATCTGAAATGAGAGATTCAAAATTGCAACCGTATTGTTGTTTTTAAATTGAGCCCTTCCGTAGAACATTTGTATTACTTCATAATTATAGATTACGTACAGAAATGTTCTAATACAAAAGAAAATGTTACAATACTTAATATACTAAAAATTGTAGATTAAAACTGAAAGAAAAAAATTAAAATTAAAAAAAAAAAGTTCCAACCCGCAGAGACAAAGTTGACCTTAGATGTATATGGCTATTTGTCATATAGCTCCTAATATATACCAGTACTTATACATCCTAGGCTTTCAAATTTTGTATTTGAAAAGATCCCGATGAAGGTACATCCAATAAAGTGCTTCGAACGCACCAAATTTATATAGCGTTATTTTTATAAAATATATGTAGTTACATATATAAGCTTTATTCCATTTTATAGTCCACATTTCGTCCAAATCGTGGGAATGTTACTGGTTATTTTTTGGCGGGAAAATCGATGCACTGGATACCAGTAAGTATTTTAGATAGGCAAATTTTAAGAATTAGAATTATTTCCTTCCTGCTCGTCTTAAAGCTCCATAAACATGTTAGTGTGAATTTTGATTGCATTACTACGAAAGAAAATGTGTATCAGCCAAAGGGCAAAAAGCTATATAATAAATTTCACTTTTCTTGTTCTGTACTGTTTATTATAAATACACAGTGGATCTATAGTATACAATGTGTTTCGTTTACTGTCAAAGGATAGCATAAATAGCTAATAACTTTTCCAAGTCTAATAGAAAGGGTAATATTTATATTTATCGCTATTTTACGAAATTTTCCTTTGATCTTGCTGACTGATAATTTCCTTTCTCAGCGGAGTCGAGTGATATGAATAATTATCGCTAGAAACTAAGGGGGCACGTGGCGTTGCTAATGAAATTGACATGAAATTGACAACGTCGTCATCTAGGTAAAATATCGATAAACAGATTATCATTGGTCATCTCAACTCGATTGCTTTTCTCACTTTCGCCGTACCGGCTCAAGCGAGAAAATCAATCTCGTTGAGATAATCAACGATAATCTATAAGTATTTAAATTTTTGACACGTAGCGAAGTTGTACCCTCACGATCGAAAGTGAATCATTATGCTGATGTAATTTGGTTATTCTAACCATCTCATATAGAAAAAAAACGGATTTGTTCATTTGCATTTGTACAGTTTTACAACTTAGGACTGACTGGGTAATAAAAATATGGTCACTTAGGTCTTCTTCCGACTGGCAGTAAAATCATTGCCATAGTGGGTTGTGCGGGATGTAAAAGTACCGTCCGGTCTGTCTTCGCGGAGAGAGAGTCCCACACTCTCTGCACGTTACGAACCCTTGCAACAACTCTTTGGTGGGTTCATAGGTGGCCTGTTGCAAGGCCAAATGTCTGTCCCTATCCGATATACCCTCATTTTACATGCAGTCCAAATTTTCCGACCTTCATCCCGGGCGCCCTCTATTACAGGACCTACCTATTTATTGTTAATTTGTTCTCGTCCTAAACATCCATGACATATCATCAACTGGTGTTAAGCAACCACAAATCAATCAATCAATCAACTCACTTTAGTAACTGTTGCAGTTTACACAATATTTTTGGTATTTGGTATTTTATATTGTAATCTTGAGCTTGGAATACAAATGTTTAATGTCTTTAATTAGGTAAATGTAATATTTTTATCAAACCTCTGACTGAAATAAGTACAAATGTAATAGTATTATGTAGTGAAGTAGAAATTACGACATTGTATAACTTGTATACTGTGTGTCAGCTAGGGTTTCAATTATTGGCTCATTGTACAAATGAAAACGTATGATTTAAAATTGTCTATCATGCAGGCCTAAGTCCAAATCATTTAACTTAACCCCACCCCATTGTAATGAGCGTTGACATCGTTCGAAAAAAAATCCTGATGAACAGAGCTTCAGTGTTTGCGTGTAAATTGTACCTTTTATAGTTACTTTTTATATATCACAGCTTCAATGTTAGTGTGCAAGTTGTACAAAACATTTCTTTTCTTTAATATTAAAGCACAAAGGCTTATGTGTAAATTGTACAATTAAGGTTGGTTCCAATGATTTCCTTTCTTTGATATTAAAGCACCATGCTGATGTGTAAGTTGTACATTTGATTTTACGTCGATTACTTAGTTCCTATCTTAAACATCAATTGAAAGCTTCAATTTTTGCGTGTGAATTGCATATATACATAATAACAAGGAACATGATCTCTTAAGAGCTCTTTAACCGACTGATATTAATAAACAAAACATACATGTAATAACATCAGATTCATATACAACACAAACATACAGACAGCACATACATGTATTAATCATGTTAATACATAGATATCACATGCAAAATAAAAGCTAAGCAAGATATATATTAAAACAGATGTCAAATATCAGCACATAGTAACACACAATATGTGTATCCAAGTAGCACATGCAAAATTAAACACTATAAAGCACAAGCAAAAGACTGCAAGCAGCAACAGCACAGATAATGCATAAGCAAAGCAAATAAATATTAAATAGAAATAACTGCAAAGAATAAAAAATAAAAACATAAAACAAACAGCAGGCTTCAAGGTCAAGTCATGTGGCAGCAAGGAGTTACATTATTTACAAGAACTGCAGGTACAACTTTCTGAAAAACACCAGGTGGAGACAAAATTTTTGAACTGGCCAAAAGGTGATAAGCTCCTTGCCTCATTTGGCAAGGAGTTCCAGAGTCTTGCTGCCTCATAACTAAAGCTTTTCTTACCATACCTTGTTGTTTTTGGCCGTGGTATATCCGCTATGCCTTTGTACCTGAAGTTATATGAATTTTCTTTAATGTGTATTAAATTATGTAGGAATTCTGGACTTGATTTATTAACTATTTTATAAGTCTCTAATGCCATGGATCTCATTCTTCTGATTTTTAGTGCTGGGAGCTTAGACTGTTCAAGGAGTGTATCGTAAGAATTTTTGTAGTCATCATAAATGAATCTGAGTGCTCTTTCTTGTATTTTTTCTATTTTCTTTGTGTTTTGTTCACTGCAGAAGTGCCAAGTGAGAGGACAATAGCTGAGGTTTGACAAGATAAATGAGTGGTATATTGTAAGTTAAGAAAGTCTGGTGAGATGAGTGCCGATCATTTCAGTACGTTTAGTTGTGCGGCTTTTTTTACATATATTTGAAATGTGAGTGTTGAAATCCAGTTTAAAGTCTATTGTTACACCTAGAAGTTTCACCTTATCGTCACATTTTATGTTGAATCCATTTAGGTTGAAGACCATATTTTGAGTGTGTGTTTTTTTTACCTATGGCAATTGCCTGGATTTTTTCTGGGTTTGCCTGCATTTTGTTGAAAGAGAACCATGATATTAGGGAGTTACTATCTTCCTCTAAAGGTTTTATTACTGATTCCAAAGTAGTACCTGATTTAGAGAGGGTGTTATCATCAGCATAATTATATAAATCACAGTGTTTGACAAAAAGAAAGATGTCATTTATGAATACATTAAATAATACAGGGCCTAATATAGATCCCTGAGGAACACCTTTATAGAGATTACTTTACTTTACTTTACTTTATTTCAGGTCGGTGCATCAATCTATGCCAGTAATATTGGAGCTCCAATGTTTATTGGTTTAGCTGGAACAGCTGCTGCTTCCGGGTTGGCTGTTACTATTTATGAATGGCATGTAAGGTTTGGTTGTGAATACACTACATTTCTTATGAATGAACATAAGGTCGCATGGCCGGCAAAATGGACCCCTCCTCCCGGTCGCATGTATTATGTATTGATTGAGACATAGAAAATTACATACTTTTTAAATCTCGGATTTGAAGGGCAACAACAATATTAATTGATGAGTCTAGAATTTTCCAAAAGTAAACGGGAAATCTTCAAAATATTTTAATCTGTCAATAAAGTATAACTTGAGGTAAATGGGTAATAAGTGGCATCCTTTGTCGCAGAGAAATTACAGTAAGTGTTAGGTGTTTTCTGTATACATAACTGCAGGATGTCTTGAAGACAGTATTCTGTAGTATTATCTATACTCTCAAAGAATTCGGTTCGTATAGTCTAGATTGCATTCAAACAGAAACGCCAGCATTTTTTATCTGCATTTTTTGAAATATCAGACCTTCTATTGTTTACAAATTTTCATATTACCATTATTTTAATTGAATACGTGCGTTATCCGTTACGCAGTCGAAATTAACCACTATTTTTTATCTTGATAATAAAGAGAATATTTTTGTTCAGAGAAAAAAGTCCTCCTTAAGCCACTGCAACACTGCAGCACAAAGAATATGTTTTGTTTGTTTGTTAAGCTTTCATTGTGTCATAATATAAATATATTATTTTCTTTACAAACAGGCAGTGTTTATACTGATAGCTCTGGGTTGGATCTTTGTACCAGTGTATGTATCAAGTGGAGTAAGTTGTTTCTTTTCGATACCAAAAAATTACTAGATACTAATATTGTCTAGTAACCGCACAAAATCGATGAATTGCTGTTGTTTTCGTGAAAACTTATCCATCAAACAAAGTAACTACAAAATGTCAAAAATAAATATATAATACAACAGTGAAAAAGAGAGAAAGCCTGACACGGTACACACATTTTATATACCGAAATAAACATAATGAAATACAAATTGAATAGTTGTTTCTGAACTTCAAAGAATAAGAGTCTGATTGTACAACTTCTATAATGGACAAAACGCCAAAACAACTATGTTTATGATAATGTTAAAAAAAAAACAAAGAAACAACAACAAAACAAATAGTTGAAATAGATACATGTAAATATTATATTACTTTGAAGTTCGTTACTCAAATGTCGTCAGTTTACCCAAAGAAAAGCAGGGAGTGTCAAGTAAAACGACATCGTAAAACCTGTTACGGACATTTGGGAGAGCTCTATGACTAAGTAAACAGTCGCGTGTTAGGAAGGTGAAACACTGAAACACAGAAATGATGAATCAGTCCGTGATGGGGAACGTAGCCGTTGTGATTATTGATTTTAATCTTAACTCAGGAGAAACTTAAGAGTTGAGAGTATGACAGTATGTGTCTATACAGTCAATAAAGACACCATGCTCTGACATGTTGTGAAAAGGCTATCTTGACCTTGTGTTGTTCGTTGTTCGTTGTTCGTTAATTGTCTTTGTTTTTACGTCGAAGGAGTCGAGTGTTGGTGACTGATGTGGTGCATTGTATTTTGATTGAATTGCCATATTATTTTGTGTTATGAACACAAAACGCTCGTCTGGCGTACAAAAGTATAAGCCTGGTATATTTTATGAGTTTATGAAAATTAATTTAAAAGACGCAAGTTTGACACAACTGTCATTACCAATCTCGATCGCAGTTCGTATTTAAAATCCAACCTTGGTTTGCATTTATACACACCTCTGCCAATTCAGACTTAGAAGCATACTTTTTGTTCCACTGTTAATGTTCAGCATCCTCACAAATAGATTGATATTTTTTGTTAAATTAACATGACCATTCAATTACAGGCGTTTACTATGCCGGAATACCTTAGGAAGAGATTTGGTGGAAAACGAATTCGAATGTACAGCTCATTTTTTGCTCTTATTGGATATATTTTTTTCAACATTTCTGTAGGTATAAGTAATTTCTAAGATGGATGGAACTATTTTATACGGAAGCGTATTAGCGCCACACGTTTTTTTTTTTTTTAATATTTCTTCCTATGTTTGCGTTATAACGCAAACATTTGCGAAATAACGCAAACCTTTGCGTTATAACGCAAACCTTTGCGAAATAACGCAAACCTTTAAGGAATAACGCAAACCTTTGCGATATAACGCAAACCTTTGAGGAATAACGCAAACCTTTGCGAAATAACGCAAACCTTTGCGTTATAACGCAAACCTTTGCGATATAACGCAAACCTTTGCGAAATAACGCAAACAGTTGTTTTATTTTATTTCTTATTTAAGTTTCAAAGGAAGCAGCTGTTATAAATGGAGGAGGCTGCATATATTAAAATTTATCACCCTTTGTACTCATTGCAATGTAAAATGCTTGAGTGTTTAGCACACATCATGGGATAATAATGAGCAGGATAATACATGAATATATATATATATATATATGTTACAAAGAAAATTGAGTAAATTGAAGTTATACCGAAGAAAATAAAAAATCAACCCCGCTAGTGTAGCCGAATTTAAGTATACTTCCGAAGTAAGCGCTCGTTTGAGCATTGTGTAAGATTGGTTAGATTCAAACCAGCAACCCTTTTCCATAAATGTATACTGTTCCCAGGTTGGGAGGGGGCGGTGGTTGCAGCAAACCTTTGCGTTATAACGCAAAGGTTTGCGTTATTTCGCAAAGGTTTGCGTTATAACGCAAAGGTTTGCGTTATAACGCAAAGGTTTGCTCCAACCACCGCCCCCTCTCAACCTGGGAACAGTATATCTAACATTACAATGTTTGTGTATTATAACGCAAAGGTTTGCGTTATTTCGCAAAGGTTTGCATTATATAACGCTAAAGGTTTGCGTTATAACTCAAAGGTTTGCGTTATTTCGCAAAGGTTTGCGTTATAACGCTTCCGTAATTTTACACATCATGTATCGAAGCTTATAATATAAAAAGATTACATTTATTTTAACTTTAAACAAATATTCAAATGCATGAATTATTACGTTTTGATGTAAACAAATCTCAGGTTATGAAAATCCGATTTATTTGTATTGTATTTGTAGAGCAGCAATCAATCAATCAATCACATGAAAATTAAATTGGAATAATGAATATGATGAATATGATGAATATGAAAGCTAACATTTAAACAGGAATAAAGTAGAATATAGAATAATATATTTTATTTTTCCAAATTACGGAATCCATAAAGAGCATATAAATCAGATACAACGATTGAAGTAATTGGGTCAACAATTGATTGAATACGAAGGTAATGCCTATAAATGTGATGATATTTTGAACAATAAAAAAATATTAAATAGACAAATGTTTCTGTTTAATTACTGCAGGCAGAGATATACTCAGGAGCGATATTTCTCAGACACATACTCAAATGGAACATGTACCTTTGTGTGGTAATCATATTAGCTGTCACAGCTGTTTTTACTATTGTTGGTAAGATAAATTGCATTGTTCGACTGATTAATTATATTATACTGGAGTGAAATATCCCGGTTAATTGTGCAATTTTATTAGTTACATAGTGTGGTAGTGACCTAATACGATATATATATGGGGTCAGTAAATTCCATATGGGGTGAGAGCGAAGATATGGAATTATTGACCCCATATATATCGTATTAGGTCACTAGCACACTGTGTAACGAATTTATCTTACCGACTATCTTAACATGTGTCATTTAGACTAATGCCTTTTCAAAGTGATCATTTCTTCAATATAAAGAACATACTTCCATTGGTCTATACACAAACATATGCCAACAATAACAACAAGTTAGCTTGTTGCTATCTGCATTTTATTTCAATCGTTCATCATCAATGGCTTTGTTTGTTGAAACGTTTCAGATGTTTCATCAACGCCGTGTTGTTTTTATAAAGGGACGTAACACCACTACCAACCGTGTATTAAAATAAGCCACGCCTACTAACCCCATATGAAATATACACGGTCTCCATGTGGTAGCTTTTTACCAATGATATTCCTAGAAATGTATAGGAGGTAAGATAAGATTGGTTACCTAACAGGGGATGTGAGCCCATATCCCCTGTGAAGGAAAAACAAAGATAAAAAATGATAACTAGTGTTGAAATTAGGATATTCCAGTATAATATAATTGTTATTCAGGCTTCATGGCTGATACGGACTCATATTCCCTGTCAATGCCCTATACCCCTTCGCCTGGCGCCCAGGAGATATGAAACACTGACAGGGAATATGAGCCCATATCCCCTGTGAATAATATATCTGTATATTTAAGGGGTGTTTCCTTTAAGGAAAACAAAAGAAAATAAATCGAGTGTCCTTATTTAGACGTAGACTTTTTTTATTTTTTAAATCCAAAAGTACACCTTGTGTCTGTAAGGTGACACATTTAAATGTCTATCAATCAAGAATATATCCATTAGATAACATGTCCCACTTTAATTTGCATATATTTTAAAAGTTCAAATCATACTGAATATGTGAACTGTGCTACATTTGTTTACGTTTCAAGATGGTGTGATTACAAGTTCATGGTAACCTTAAAACCTGGAGTTGAACTTGGCACGGCACGAAACTGCAAGGACGGACGCATACACATAGTCGGAAAAATAGATACCATCCCTTTTAATCGTACGCGGGGTATAAAAACTAAAGGCTCTAAAGAGCCTGTGTCGCTCACCTTGGTGTATGTGCATACAATGTATCAAACAAAGGACACTCTCCAACATTGTAGACGAGAATAGACTTCATGACAAAAATCTCTATTTTGTTGATCTTGTATTACTGATCTTTTAGTCTGTTTAGTTTCTCTCTATTTTCTTTAGTTTTTGCTCAAAACACAAAAGAGCGTAAAAACAATTCTCATTTAAGGGCAATCACTCCTTTAAGAGTGACAGTCTACTAACTATATCGGCAAAATTTGACTTTTAATAGATCTTGCCTTGCTGATCATTTTTGTGATTAAAAGTGTTTATTTATCTATTATAATTCAAATCATATAAGGCATAACGGAAAAAAATGTTTCTCTCTAAATATCATAGTTTTCATGATAATAGGCAAAAATGAAAAAAATGGTAAAATTTGTCATTTATGGGCAATAACTCCTATAAGAATGTGTCTAACAGTTTTGACGTATACATATGGACAATTGGTTGAGCTCATTATTCTGAACATTTTTGCTCCTTTCAGATTTTGTCTGTTTATAACGGTTAAAAAAATAATAGACAAAACTTGCATTTTACCCCTATGTTCTATTTTTAGCGATATCGACACATTTTTTAAAACTATATACCCTAATGATGATTGTGGTCAAGTTTGGTTAATTTGTCTCAGTAGTTTCAGAGGAGAAGAATTTTGTAAAAGATTACAAAAATTTACAAAAATTGTTAAAAATTGACTATAAAGGGCAATAACTCTTTAAGGGGTCAATTGACCATTTTGGTCATGTTGACTTATTTGTAGATCTTACTTTGCTGAACATTATTGCTGTTTACAGTTTACATGTATCTCTATCTATAATAATATTCAAGATAATAACCAAAAACTGTAAAATGTCCTTAAAATTACCAATTAAGGGGCAGCAACCCAACTACGAGTTGTCTGATTTGTCTGAAAATTTCAGGGCAGATAGATCTTTACCAGATGAACAATTTGACCCATTATCAGATTTGCTCTAATTGCTTTGGTTTCAGAGATATAAACCAAAAACTACATTTTACCCCTATGTTCTATTTTTAGCCATGGCGGCCATCTTAGTTGGCGGACCGGGTCATCGGACACATTTTTTAAACTAGATACCCCAAGGATGATTGTGGCCAAGTTTGGTTAAATTTGGCCTAGTAGTTTCAGAGGAGAAGATTTTTGTAAAAGTTAACGACGACGGACGACGGATGCCAAGTGATGAGAAAAGCTCACTTGGCCTTTTAGGCCAGGGGAGCTAATTAAGCCTTTTAAAATATTTATTCTTGCAGGCGAATGAGCATGGCCTTATTTTCTTACAGTTCTTGTCCAATTCATTCATGATCGTGTTGTTGTTTTGTCTTATGATGATATTAATCATACTTCCATAGTGCTGCTCATGTTCTGCTGTCACGGCGATGTCATATATTTGGCCTTTTAAACTTTTTGATTCGAGCGTAACTGATGAGTCTCTTGTAGACGAAACGCACGTTTGGCGTACACAATTTTAATCCCGGTATCTATGATGACTTTATTTATATAAGTTGTTGTTTCGAAAATCTCGGTAACAAAAATTTTTTGCAAATCTCTTCTTTTTTTCACAAAGTGTGGCAACAAATCTATATTAAGTTGTGGAATGAGTTTTGATGTGAATCCATGATAAACTTAAGATACAAGTCGTAATATTGAAAAGAAATAAAACAATATGTTTAAATTAAAACATTTTTCCCATTCTACTATTTTTTTACTCCTTCTACTAAAAACTTAGTACATGTAAGTTAAACAATTTTCTGTTTAGATCTATGAAATGTGTTAAAATATATCAAACTTTTTAAAAGATCTTGAAAATATGAGAATAAAAACATACATGCCTGTCCGTTTTTCAGTATTGAACAAGATATTGAAAAAATAATTAAATTAAATTAATACCATTTGGCTTCTTGTACTTAATTGTTAAGGATGTTTGCTGCTCGAATTTTGTTTGCCAAAAAATTGCCAAATGCATTATTGCCTAGCAACCCATTTGTATATTATGTAAATACTATTCCTCATGTTTTTTTCTGTGCGTTGCATAAAACGTTATTGCAGAGCAACCCATATGTATATTATTTTACATTTCTTTCTTCCAATTAATTTCATATGGAAATGAAGATTCTTCTCGCGTCGAAAAGTCAAGATCTTTGAATGCTTGTACCTGAGAAACAAAAAGATTTAAAAAAAAAAAAAACCATGAAAGATGGATTATATCAATTTGTGAAAATAACTTAGTTGAATTTGAAAGAAATGTTGACTATTTTCGTAATAACAGCCTGTGGTAAATTTTGTTTGTAGGTGGTCTTACAACTGTAATCTACACAGATACTCTACAATCAGTTGTTCTCATCATCAGCTCCATTATATTATTTGTCATTGGTAAGTGGCGTATGCATATTTGTCAATTGTGGATTGAGAATATATTATGTAAATGTAGAAATAGAGAAGTAGACACCGTATTCCTCGTTGTACTCGGACCAGAAAGCAAACATGTCCCAGGTTAGGCGAGGGTTGGTGGACAGTTGTCTCATTGGCAATCATACCGCATCTCCTTTTTTTTTTATATGAACAATGATTCCCAACTCACAATCGGTGGCATCGGATTTAACGTCCCCAATTAAAGCTACCAGCTGACAAAGCTACGTATTTAAACGTCCCGAACAGCTAACTCAAACGTCAAAAACCATCCATCAGCACTGCTATTACCGTTAAAAATATGTAATCCAAGAGCTTGTCATTGATTTCCATTACCACAGAAGTTTCTTTTTCGTAATACAGAGTATTAATAACGAAATGGACTTCTATAAAAAAAAATTTAAAAGACGGATAAAGAAGTAAAAAACTGTTTTGATTTACTTTCAAAAAATAAAAGATAATACATTTGTATGTGGTATATGTCAATGAAATAGCAACTCAACTAGTGTACACAACAAAAACAACTAATGACTGGATGTCCGCATGCAGTCTGTCTTCCAAAGAAAACAGCTTCCTAGATTAAATAAAGCAAAGAGTGAAAGATACCAATGTTTTAAGAAAATTAGCATGATTAATTTAACCTGCAGGTATAATACAGGTCGGCGGCTGGAACGAAATGACGGAAAAATATATGCACAGTGCTGCAAACTATACACTTATGAACCAGTCATTATACTCATGTGGAATGCCTCGTGATGACGCTTTGCATATATTCCGAAGTGCTACGACTGGTGATATTCCATGGACTGGGGCTTTGACAGGATTGTCCATTATGGGACTTTATGTTTGGTGTCAAGATCAGGTTAACAACTTATTCTGAATACGATAAAGAATTGTCGTTCTTATTTTTAGAATATAAAAAGATACTAGATTAAACCTTATACAATAGATTATAATTTGTAACACATTGAAAATATGGAAAATGAAGGTATGTTTCATCAACGGTTACCTTTTATACACAGGGTAATCGTCAACATTTGTACCTCAGTGTTTTTTTCTTTATGACTATATTTGATAGAAAGTCTTATTTATTTCAATATTGCAGTGTGTGAAGGATTGATTTATTGGTTGTTGTTTGCTTTACGTCCAATGGCAAATATATGTGAAGAAACACGATAGATTACACAAAGCGTTATCAAGAAACTTTTCATGATGTGGACAGACGGACAATTATATTGCGAACAGAACAAATAAACACAAAAAACCACAAAAACCACAAAAGACCCGGAATGTACGTATTACTACTCCCTAAAACTACACAATTAGAGGATAATCCTGATCATACAGAACCATAACCACGAAGACATTCACAACGACAACAACAAAATGTACAGATGTAATGCTTAATATAATTTCATTTTTTTAATCAATTTTTCACATTTGCGATGCTGTTTTCAAGTTGACTTTGTTGAATCGAAATACACAATTTGTGTGCCGTTTCTTTTGATAGCTTACCGTACAGAGAACACTATCAGCCAGAGACATGGTTCATGCTAAGGCTGGTACACTATTAGGTGGCGCTTTAAAGCTATTGGGGTTACTAACATTTATCGTTCCTGGTATGATTAGTCGTATCTTATATCCAGGTGAGCAAAATTAAATAAACCTAATAAATTCTTGGTCTGACAGCTCATGACAGTTTGTTGCCTGCAGTTTGTAATCCCGTTCATGTTCTTAGTTTTATGCTTTGTCTATCAGCATTGCAAATGTCTGTTTTCTTATAGTGCTTTTGCTTTTTTTGCTTATTTTAGCTAATCTCTATTTATTTGTTTTTATTATGTTGCAAGGCCCTTTACTTTGCTTATTGTGTTTTACCGCATGTGTGCATGCTTCAATATTTTTGTTTAAAGTGCTTGATTGAACCTTTGTGTTTTATGTATTCATAATATAATATAAACTCTTGAGTTCTATGTTTAATTGTATGTGTGCATGTTTGTAATTTTCTTGTACCGACTATAAATAAATCTTAATGTCTTATGTCTTATTAATTCATTTATAATTTGAAAACAGCAAATGAAAATTGAGAACAATTAAATGTGGGCTTCATTTATTGTGTTGAAATTGAGTGTATAAGGTATCGATGTGTTCCTTTGAGTACATTGTAAATACTATAGAGTTTGTTTTCCTTGAGGTGACATTGGGACTGGAACTAATAGAAAATTCTGATGACGTGACAAACTCCCATTTGTAATGGCCGACCTGATATTCTATATAAATATGGGTTATCTTCCTTTTATCGTAAACAAAAAATAACATGACTATGAAAATGTTACAAATAGCATGCGCTTTATAAGAGACTTTACTCCCAGTCTCCAAAACTTTTAATTGTTTAATAAAAAGACTTGTGGTTTTCATATGTATCTTTTCTCAATTGTATAGCCTATATTGTATAGACTATTGGCTAAGCTAATTAACAGTTCGATAAGGACTAATTTGCCAAAAATGTATTGCAGATGAAATTGCCTGTGCTGACCCAGACAAATGTGAAGCGTTCTGTAACAATAAAGCTGGTTGCAGCAATTTTGCCTATCCTGTTCTTGTTCTTCGGTTGATGCCAAAGGGTACGTCAAATCAAAAATTCTAAAACAGACATTAATGTTTGTGCGCAATGCATTACAACGCAGAGAGATTAATTAGTAAGTTTGTCGAACTCGCGAGTTTTTAAATACAAAGTGGTACCTCAATTGCATGTGTCTCTGGTTGATTGAATACATTAACTGAAATGGGACTTATAAAATGAAGAGAAAGCTCGAAACAATCAAATTGTATTGCTTTATAACTGGAAACGACAAAATACTAATATCGCCTTGTTCGTCACAAATGTTAGTCACTTTGAGTTATTTTATACAACATTGTCACTAGCAAGTGATCTCAATTAAAAACTATAAAACTAATCTTGTCACTATGTCTTTTTCTCAAGTTATTTCAGCTTTTCAAATAAATAATCATAAATATGAAACAAAGCAACTCTGGACTCTAGATATTTTTCTTCTGCCTACTTGTTTTGTTTGGTTGCTGTCGTATACACTACATCTCCCTTGCTCAAACAACTTGCGCAGCATTGTTTATCATTCATACTGCATTTTTTTTATCACCTTACTGGTAGGTCTAAGAGGATTAATGCTGGCTGCACTATTGGCAGCACTTATGAGCTCATTGACATCTATCCTTAACAGTGCAAGCGCCATTGCCACCATGGATATCTGGAAACAGTTCAGGAAGAAGGCAACACAAGCAGAACTAATGGTTGTTGGCAGGATAACCGTGATGATTCTGGTTGTTATTAGTATAGTATGGTTACCAATCATGGACGCGGCTCAAGGAGGAATGTTTTGGTTTTACTATGTGGGAATACGGTCGTACTTCTTACCACAGATGTGTGTCATGTTTGTTTTAGGAATGTTTTGGAAAAGACTGACAGAACAGGTACGTACTTCTTACCACAGATGTGTGTCATGTTTGTTTTAGGAATGTTTTGGAAAAGACTGACAGAACAGGTACGTACTTCTTACCACAGATGTGTATCATGTTTGTTTTAGGAATGTTTTGGAAAAGACTGACAGAACAGGTACGTACTTCTTACCACAGATGTGTGTCATGTTTGTTTTAGGAATGTTTTGGAAAAGACTAACAGAACAGGTACGTACTTCCTACCACAGATGTGTGTCATGTTTGTTTTAGGAATGTTTTGGAAAAGACTGACAGAACAGGTACGTACTTCTTACCACAGATGTGTGTCATGTTTGTTTAAGGAATGTTTTGGAAAAGACTGACAGAACAGGTACGTACTTCTTACCATAGATGTGTGTCATTGTTGTTTTAGGAATGTTTTGGAAAAGGCTGACAGAACAAGTACGTACTTCTTACCACAGATGTGTGTCATGTTTGTTTAAGGAATGTTTTGGAAAAGACTGACAGAACAAGTACGTACTTCTTACCACAGATGTATGTCATGTTTGTTTTAGGAATATTTTGGAAAAGGCTGACAGAACAGGTACGTACTTCTTACCACAGATGTGTGTCATGATTGTTTTAGGAATGTTTTGGAAAAGACTGACAGAACAGGTACGTACTTCTTACCACAGATGTATGTCATGTTTGTTTTAGGAATGTTTTGGAAAAGGCTGACAGAACAGGTACGTACTTCTTACCACAGATGTGGGTCATGTTTGTTTTAGGAATACTTTGGAAAAGACTGACAGAACAGGTACGTACTTCTTACCACAGATGTGTGTCATGTTTATTTTAGGAATGTTTTGGAAAAGACTGACAGAACAGGTACGTACTTCTTACCACAGATGTGTGTCATGTTTGTTTAAGGAATCTTTTGGAAATGACTGCCAGAACAGGTACGTACCTCTTACCACAGATGTGTGTCATGATTGTTTTAGGAATGTTTTGGAAAAGACTGACAGAACAGGTACGTACTTCTTACCACAGATGTATGTCATGTTTGTTTTAGGAATGTTTTAAAAAAGGCTGACAGAACAGTTGTTTAAGGAATGTTTTAGATGTGTGTCATGTTTGTTTAAGGAATGTTTTGGAAAAGACTGACAGAACAGGTACGTACTTCTTACCACAGATGTGTGTAATGTTTTTTTTAGGAATGTTTTGGAAAAGACTGACAGAACAGGTACGTACTTCTTACCACAGATGTGTGTCATGTTTGTTTAAGGAATGTTTTGGAAAAGACTGACAGAACAGGTACGTACTTCTTACCACAGATGTGTGTCATGATTGTTTTAGGAATGTTTTGGAAAAGACTGACAGAACAGGTACGTACTTCTTACCACAGATGTATGTCATGTTTGTTTTAGGAATGTTTTAAAAAAGGCTGACAGAACAGTTGTTTTAGGAATGTTTTGGATGTGTGGCATGTTTGTTTAAGGAATGTTTTGGAAAAGACTGACAGAACAGGTACGTACTTCTTACCACAGATGTGTGTCATGTTTGTTTTAGGAATGTTTTGGAAAAGACTGACAGAACAGGTACGTACTTCTTACCACAGATGTGTGTCATGTTTGTTTAAGGAATGTTTTGGAAAAGACTGACAGAACAGGTACGTACTTCTTACCATAGATGTGTGTCATTGTTGTTTTAGGAATGTTTTGGAAAAGGCTGACAGAACAAGTACGTACTTCTTACCACAGATGTGTGTCATGTTTGTTTAAGGAATGTTTTGGAAAAGACTGACAGAACAAGTACGTACTTCTTACCACAGATGTATGTCATGTTTGTTTTAGGAATATTTTGGAAAAGGCTGACAGAACAGGTACGTACTTCTTACCACAGATGTGTGTCATGTTTGTTTAAGGAATGTTTTGGAAAAGACTGACAGAACAGGTACGTACTTCTTACCATAGATGTGTGTCATTGTTGTTTTAGGAATGTTTTGGAAAAGGCTGACAGAACAAGTACGTACTTCTTACCACAGATGTGTGTCATGTTTGTTTAAGGAATGTTTTGGAAAAGACTGACAGAACAAGTACGTACTTCTTACCACAGATGTATGTCATGTTTGTTTTAGGAATATTTTGGAAAAGGCTGACAGAACAGGTACGTACTTTCTTACCACAGATGTGTGTCATGATTGTTTTAGGAATGTTTTGGAAAAGACTGACAGAACAGGTACGTACTTCTTACCACAGATGTATGTCATGTTTGTTTTAGGAATGTTTTGGAAAAGGCTGACAGAACAGGTACGTACTTCTTACCACAGATGTGGGTCATGTTTGTTTTAGGAATACTTTGGAAAAGACTGACAGAACAGGTACGTACTTCTTACCACAGATGTGTGTCATGTTTATTTTAGGAATGTTTTGGAAAAGACTGACAGAACAGGTACGTACTTCTTACCACAGATGTGTGTCATGTTTGTTTAAGGAATCTTTTGGAAATGACTGCCAGAACAGGTACGTACGTCTTACCACAGATGTGTGTCATGTTTGTTTTAGGAATGTTTTGGAAAAGACTGACAGAACAGGTACGTACTTCTTACCACAGATGTGTGTCATGTTTGTTTAAGGAATGTTTTGGAAAAGACTGACAGAACAGGTACGTACTTCTTACCACAGATGTGTGTCATGATTGTTTTAGGAATGTTTTGGAAAAGACTGACAGAACAGGTACGTACTTCTTACCACAGATGTATGTCATGTTTGTTTTAGGAATGTTTTAAAAAAGGCTGACAGAACAGTTGTTTAAGGAATGTTTTAGATGTGTGTCATGTTTGTTTAAGGAATGTTTTGGAAAAGACTGACAGAACAGGTACGTACTTCTTACCACAGATGTGTGTCATGTTTGTTTTAGGAATGTTTTGGAAAAGACTGACAGAACAGGTACGTACTTCTTACCACAGATGTGTGTCATGATTGTTTTAGGAATGTTTTGGAAAAGACTGACAGAACAGGTACGTACTTTCTTACCACAGATGTATGTCATGTTTGTTTTAGGAATGTTTTAAAAAAGGCTGACAGAACAGTTGTTTTAGGAATGTTTTAGGTGTGTCATGTTTGTTTTAGGAATGTTTTGGAAAAGACTGACAGAACAGGTAAAAATGCAGATAAATATTTTTGACATTGAACAGAAATATGAAAATAAAATTCAATACAAGCAATAGTGAAAATAACATTTTATAAACTTGGTGTGTTCGAGGCGATTTTCGGAATTTATCTTCATTCGGAACTCTCAAACCTCAAAATACGATCGTACTTCTTACCACAGATGTGTGTCATGTTTGTTTTAGGAATGTTTTGAAAAAGACTTACAGAACATTCAAAAATGCAGATAAATATTTTTGACATTGAAAAGAAATATGAAAATAAAATTCAATACAAGCAATAGTGAAAATAACATTTTATAAACTTGGTGCGTACGAAGCGATTTTCGAAATTTATCTCCATTCGGAACTCTCAAACCTCAAAATTTGAAAGACAAGCTTGAATAGATACTTAAATATTTGAGGAGCTAAAAGACTAAAAGTGACACAAAACGAAGCATAACCAGGTAAGCTCATCTTTACTTGAGGAAGTTGGAACATCAGTGTCTTAATATTTTCTCATCTATAAACGGAGAATTTTAGATTTTGTATATCATTTGATGGGTATGGAAAATTCAATTACCTGAAATATAAATGTTTAAATTTAACCTCCAAATTCACTTTGTTGACAACGAATCGAAGGAAAGCAACGACAAAACTGTTTGAAATTATTAATTAAATACGCATACCGAAAAGATATCAAGCAAAAATTAATTGATTTTTAAACAAAAGTATGTTTTTTTTTTCTAAATAGCTATGACTTTAAGCTTGCTTAACGTCAGGGTTAAACAAATTATATCTCCATAAGCAAATTTGGAATGACTTCTTTCAAATAAGAAATGAAAACAAATGTATAAATTACATTCCATTTAAGAATTATCTTAAGAATTTAAAACCTTAAGTTAAAAAAAAATGTAGCAAGTTTTTTGTAAGTCTTAGTAACAATAGATGTCGAGATACTGAAGATAAAATACGACAGATTTTTGACACGTTTGTCTGTAAAAACTTCGTTAGAAACCAAACAGGAATTGCAAAATCTTAACTGGAAAGAGATTTTTTTAATTCAAAACTAGATGGATTGATTGGGTGTTGATTGTTTAACGTCCAGTGGTAAATATCTCATGCATAATCAATGTGACTTCTTTAACTTTGTAACATCTTGCTGTTTAAGAAAACAAAGAGTACTTTTTGTTGTCATGTTAGTTTCTCACATTATCAACTATTCCTTCATACGTGTATTTTGTAAACTATTTGACTTTTACCTTAGTAAAACGAATCGTCCTTGCATTTGTAAATATTTTTAAAGCTTACGTCTCGAATACATTTATAATAAAAATGTTTTAAATGTTTTGATATTTCTTCTACACTTGTGATATGTTTTATAGTTCCTTTATCACAATACATAACATGTATCTCAGAAAAATAAAGAGAAACCATTTCTAGGCAAATATTATGATTTTCAAATGTTATCTCAAAAACAAACTCGCGTGTGTATCTCTATTATCCCATAAATTTCATTTTTGATACAGTCTATTTAAAAAAGTCATAAATTTATGAAATCTATTGTTAATTTATATTCCAACATGAAACACTGGTGGGTATAATTCATATCTAAATTGACCCAGCCAACCATTTCTTTGAGAAATAAATGCTATCTAAAATTTCTGACATCTTAATTAAGTTTCCCAAACGAAGTTTGGGAAGACTTATTGTTTTTGCTCAGTTCTTATTATTATTATTAAGGTCTTTCCTTTTTCAAAAGGGAAAGACCTTACTGTATTTCTTCTGTTTATTATTATTATTATTATTATTATTATTATTATTATTATTATTATTATTATTATTATTATTCTTTTTCCGCCAAACTTTGACGAAGTTAGCAGCCTTAACTGTAAGACGTGTCGCTTTCATGTTCACACTTTGTATCGGTGTCATGAATACCTATCCGGAACTCACCCTTTGAGTCGAAAAATTTTGTCGGTTTGGAGTAATCCCTCCGAAACCAAAAAACCTTGTTACCGTTCCAACACCGTAACCGTAATAGGTAGAAAAAAACCTAATGGTGAAATTTGTTCAGGACCAGACCCCGGTTCTTCGTTACATTTGGATAGAAAAGATTCAACTACTCATTGGTAGGGTTATGCCCCTATGAAAATTAACCGGTGTCGGTTGGCCACCAAAACTCAGAAACCGTAAGTCGTAGACACCTAGGATCTTCACCAATCATCATCAATTCATGTGACTTTGAAAAATTCCTCAAGGTCAAATTGGTATGATGACCTTGACCTTTGACCTAACACATTGTTATGGGAGAATCTCAGAAACCTTAATACTTACAGTAGTTATGAATAGTGGAAAATGTTTGGGTCATGAATGCGCAACTTCGTTACATTTTGACCGAAGAGATTTGACCTTTCTGTAAGGGGCATAACCCCTGTTTTAGGTTTCTGAAAAGACAAAATCAGCTTTTACTATATAACCAAAGGTCCTAGACCCATTGGGTCTTCAGCAATGACATTGGTGACTAATGACCTTGACAAAGGTCACAAGGTCAAAGGTCAAGGTCATGTCCCAGATAGCGAATTATGTGTTTTTGACCTTATTTAAAGGATTTTTAGTGTGTTTTAAAAGTTTTTAAGGTTGATCTTGACCTTTGACCTTTCAACTTTTTCGTCGATATCTCAAAAACCGTTAATCTTACAGAAATAGTAAACAGTGAAAAATGTTTAGGTGACTGAGGCACAACTTTTTTACATTTTGACCGAAGAGATTTGACATATTCTTAAGGGGCATAACCTCCGTTAACGGTTTCTGAAAAGGTAAAATTAGCTTTAACTCTTGAACCAAAGTTCTTAGACCCATGGGGTCTTTTACAATGACATTGTCGACCGATAACCTTCACAAAGGTCACAAGGTCAAAAGTCAAGGTCATTTCCTAAAAAGCGAATTTGTTGATTTTTATCATGTTTTAACAGTTTTTTGTGTGTTTTAGAACTTTTCAATACATTCTACGTCTATTGGAACATTTATTTTACATTACAAAAGGAAAGACCTCTCAATTGTTCAAGAACAATTGACATTTTAATTATTCTTCTTCTTCTTCTTCCGCCGCTTTTAAATTTGAACTTGTCCGCACCCGTTCTCCAAAACCGCTTGTCAGATTGACTTAGGGTTTCACAATAAGTTAGACTAACATGTCTAGTGGTGCAATCAGGGTTTTGTTTGTGCAATGGGGTTTATAAAGGGGTACTTTAAGGGGCAAAAAGAAAAGAGGGTTTTACTATAGAACCCTATGGGATTTTATTTTTAAAAATTTTCAAATGAGTATAAATTGAAAACCGTTTGTGATAGACACAATCTTTTTAATTGAAAATGTTCTAAATGATAAAGCCCATTTAATGAAATACAGGGTTAGTCCCCAGGGGTCACCCACCCCCTGCCATTTAAAAAAGTTCTAATACCTTGTAAGTGGTCAAGATCCCCACCCCTAAACCATTTATGTTTTGGTTTGTCAAGCTAAGATGGTTTGAATGATATACAGGGTTAGTCCCCAGGGGTCATCCCGACCCCCTGCCATTTGAGAAAGTTCTAATATCTTGTAAATGGTCGAGATCCCCACCCCTAAACCATATATATTCTGGTTTGTCATGATAAAGCACATCAAATGTAATACAGGGTTAGTCCCCAGGGGTCACCCCCACCCCATGCCATTTAAGAAAGTTCTAATATCTTGTAAGTGGTCAAGATCACCACCCCTAAACCATATATATTCTGGTTTGTCATGCTAAGATGGTTTGAATGATATATAGGGTTAGTCCCCAGGGGTCATCCCGACCCCCTGCCATTTGAGAAAGTTCTAATATCTTGTAAATGGTTGAGATCCCCACCCCTAAACCATATATATTCTGGTTTGTCATGCCAAGATGATTTGAATGATATACAGGGTTAGTCCCCAGGCATCACTAATGCATATAACTTTACTGGACCAAACCAATTTTCACTGGACTTTGCCCAATGTCAGGCGACGCTGGGAATTACGAATTATGGGAGCTTCGTTTGGGAAACTTCGTAACAGCATCCTGTTACAATCATTTCTTGTTAGCTTTTATATTGATACAATGTTTTTCATTTTTTCATATTTTAGGGTGCGTTTTGGGGTCTCATGATCAGTTTGGTTATCGGCTTGATCCGAATGGTTCTGGATTTTACATTTATAAAGCCATCGTGCGGAAGTGGAGAACAAGACACTAGACCATCAATTATCAGCAAAGTCGATTTCTTACATTTTGCAGCCATTTTATCAGTTTTATGTTTTATTTCTATGGTAGTTATCAGTCTTTTTACGAGACCAAGGCCGCCTAGAAAAGTGAGTTAATTTCTTATGGTTGATAAATTTGGTAATTTCTTAGGGTTAGACAAGAGACATTGGCCAATCGGCTATTGCATGATGCCTAGGATATGACTATCAACGTATTTTAACAGGATTCATGCGGCGGGTGTTATCGGTGTAGTAGGTACTGCTAACCCTTCTAGGGGAACTGAGTGCATACCCGTTTTTGACGGGGTTCGTGTTACTTAATCTTTCTGCGTAGTGTTTTATGGATAGTTTCTTGTCTGTAAACATAAAGATTGACAGACTTTTTGAAAAGGGTCCTGGTGTGATATAAAGTAAGAGAAAATTGGCCCGCCCTCTTTTAACAAAAAAATGTAAAAGTTGCAATATTGTTTAGTAGCATTGCATTTTTATTTTTATAATACATGTACCATTGGTGACAAACTTTTCAATTGTATCATATAGACAATGTGATATTCAAATTCCAGTAGATTGCAACGGCCTTCATTTTTAATATCTTGCGAAGGAAACACATAAAGAAGAAATTGACCCTACAACTTTGATAACAAAACTACAACCAATTTAGGATTCATCCTTTTCAGTCTCAAATATTGTACTTTGCGTTCATTAAAAAGAATCTCCCATTTTTATTTTGGGTTTAATTGGAAGTTAATGATTGAAAAAAAAAGTAATGGTCAACTCAAAACGCGTTTGTGTTCTTGGCTTCCTAAACATATGGTATTGAGCTTATCTAACTTTAAGGTTTAATAATGATTATTCAAGAAACAAGTGTCAAGTGCACTTAGGTCAGTGAGTATTCAGTATTATTTGTTTATCATAGTGTAACCATTATTATCAGGATCTCATGTTATTATCATGATTCTTTAAATCAAAACGGTTTGATATAAATGGAATGCTTTATATTTCCGTATCTCAGAGTTCCGTGTAGCTATTGCGGTTCATTATAATCTTCTTAAAATCTCCCTCTGGAACAACATACGGATGTTTTTATTAACATACTTAGTTAAAGATGGATTATGCATATCCTTAATACATATCCCTACATTTATTAATTTATAGAATATGTTTCTATCTGGCGAAGGTCATGCATACTATCATGATAGAAATATTATATCACAAATTTATAAAACTTTCATCTCTTTTAAAGTAATGCTAAGTTTGCTAAGCTTTATAATCCCCACGTTGATGAATATTGTATCGAGTAATTTCTCGCCATATCCATTCGGAATATTGCACTCGGTTTTTTTAATAAATCTTCAGGCAAACATTTTCTAAAACTTTATCCTGTGACTACAATATTAAGGTGATGGGAATCAGTTATTTAATATTGGATATTTATGTTTCATATTTTCTTAGAATTTATTAAAGCATATTTACCGATAAAATTTGAGTTTACATGGTAACTTAGATATGTAGGCGGTTCTATGAATATAAAGAATAGCTGTAAATTTCGCGGTATCCTTCTAGTAAGTAGACTTAAAAATCATTATAAAAAAAAAATAAGAACAATATATTCAATATATTCAAAAGGAACAACATATGCAAAGGAAAGAATAGATAATACGCAATAGGAACAAGATATGAAAAGGAAAGAATAGATAATACGCAATAGGAACAAGATATGAAAAGGAAAGAATAGATAATACGCAATAGGAACAAGATATGCAAAGGAAAGAATAGATAATACACAATAGGAACAAGATATGCAAAAGAAAGAATAGATAATACGCAATATTCAAAAGCTATTCAAAAGGAACAAGATATGCAAAGGAAAGAATAGATAATACGCAATATTCAAAAGCTATTCATTGAAAAATGTACATACCAAACTATTCATAGGCATTCAAAAGAAAATGTACAATCAAACCATGCAAAGAAACATTTTTATTTTTTTCACCAAACAATTAAAAATAATGCTGTAATTTCATCGGCTATTTTCCTTTTTATTGTTCTTGTAAATCTATTTAGAGATTAATATCTTAATGAAATAACTTTTTTTAATAAGTAGTTCACTTGATCTATCAATACTAAAATTGTAAGACAATATTGAAATATCTGATCCCTTAAAACTACTATAAGAAATGTATTAACAGAAAGTACCAGCTCCAAGGTATATTAAAACAGAGGGAGGCTCATCAAACCTGACAAAATCAAACGCTAAACTAAAGGAACGATCGGAAAACAACTGTTCTTATGTTGTACTGTTACACCACTGTTCCAGGTTAGGGAGAGGGTTGGCGCCATCTCACATGTTTAACCTCGCCACATTCTATATGTGCCTGTCCCAAGTCAGAAGCCTGTTGTTCAGTGGTTGTCATTGGTTCATGTCTGTAATATTTGTTTTTCATAAATTGTTTTAATATATATCAGGCCGTCAGTTTTCTTAATTAAAATGTTTCATATTTTTCATGTCTGGGCCTTTTAAAGCCGACTATACGGTATGGGTTTTACTCATTGTCGAAGGCCGTACGGTTGCCTATAATTACTTGCATACACTTCATTTGAACTTTGGTGGATAGTTGTCTCATTGGCAATCATACCACATCTCCTTATTGTTATATATGTCATATTCCTGACAGGTACAGGAATTGTCCGAAGAAAATCGTGGGTTAAACCTGGTTTGATAGATAGATAAATCTCCTACTTGTATGACAGTTATAAACAGTTTATTATTTAAATTATATGACTAAGATTTAAAAACATTTGAAAGAAGCAAAATCAGTTTGATTTTTAAGAAAATAACCAAAAAAAATACGGACAAGTATCTTTCCATGATAATTAATAGTTCTGTGTATGTTCTAATTATACAAATTATATCAACAGCTTAGAAGGGTAACTTGGTGGACGAAAGACGACGAAGAAGACCCTGAATTGTCTTCAGAGGAAGATGAAGAGGTAGACGAACAGAGAATAAACAAAGATGAAATCATTGAAGACAAAGGTATATATGTATACAAGTACTATAAGCTGTATGTCCACTAATTAGTTTGTTGCATCATATCCATCGATCAAAATTATGTGTTACAACATAGTCGACTCTGCACTAGAATAATAACATTATGTGTTACAACATAGCCGATTATGTACTAGAATAATAACATTATGTGTTACAACATAGTCGATTCTGTACTAGAATAATACCATTATGTGTTACAACATAGTCGATTCTGTACTAGAATAATAACATTATGTGTTACAACATAGTCGATTCTGTACTAGAATAATAACATTATGTGTTACAACATAGTCGATTCTGTACTAGAATAATAACTTTATGTGTTACAACATAGTCGATTCTGTACTAGAATAATAACATTATGTGTTACAACATAGTCGATTCTGTACTAGAATAATAACATTATGTGTTACAACATAGTCGATTCTGTACTAGAATAACAACTTTATGTGTTACAACATAGTCGATTATGTACTAGAATAATAACATTATGTATTACAACATAGTCGATTCTGTACTAGAATAATAACATTATGTCTTACTCAAAACATACATCAGAATTGAAAACTCCAATTATGTACGGTAAGTCTTATTTCAGTGGTTAGCGTCGAGACAACGAAAAATGCACAGAAGTATTAACACGTTTCATGAAGTCACGTGTGTAAAATTCTACACAGGAAAAAATATTTCTATAAGTGATACATGTAATGAAAGTTTTGATCTGAACAAAGTATTTAGACTCTAAAAATTCTTATAATTATTTGGTGTATCACATTTCTCTTTCATTTCTCGTCAGTTTTAATCTGACTTTATTTTTCATTTAGCTGTTCCTGTATCGTTTGGACAACGACTTTGTAAAGCATTTAAAGACTGGGTTTGTGGAACAACAGATGAAGTACACAAACATCAATATTTGACACAACTTGAGATTATCCAGCTAAGACAGAAAATGAAATCAATTGATGAATCTGCTCTGTATCGTAAAGTGTTAAATGGTGCCGCTATAATTATGTCTTTACTGACAGCATTTCTTATAGGCAAATTCAGTTAGATATAAATAGATGTAAAAATTCGCATGTATGCTGATTTTGTAAAAATGTGTACAATTGCAGATTGATAGATCTTTCTATGAAAAAGCTATCTTTTAAATGAATCTAATATGTTTTTTTATTTTTAATTTCAACATGTATGATATATCGAGTTTCGTCTAGTTGTTATTGTAAAATACTTTCGCCAAAGTATGTATGTGAAGGCAGCATTCCGATACAAGTTTCTTTAATGCTAACTTGTAAAAGAAAATGTAATTAACATTTTTAAAAGTCATGTTTATACACCAAATCTTAATTGATCGACAAATCAATCAGTGTAGATTGATTTCCTTTTTGTGGCTTCGCCGTAGGTAATTGGGCATTAAGTGTTACCCTTGGCCGTCTTTCCGTCCTTCCATCCTTCCGTCCGCCTTTCTGTCCTACCGTCCGTTCTTCCGTCTTTCCGTCCCAATTTTTTTCGTTTCCGTACTCTAACTTAAGTTTCCTTATCCAAAGTTTATGAAACTCATACACAATGCTAAGAACCAAGACCTGCAGACAGAGTTCGAATTTGGGCAGTAAGTCACTTACTAGAGTTATACCCCTTTATAACTTGGGAAATTGCAAAGCTTGAGTGGGGGGATTCGTGTCGTCAGACACATTCTTCTTTTATTTAAAATTTATTATACCGTCATACAACTTGGCTGATTTGCAACATATTTTTTATAGGATCTTGATTACCCCACCATTTTCCTTGGAAAGAACCAGAATCTGTAAAAATACAAGATTTAGACTATATCAATGATACAAGAACCCACCAACACAGAAAATTTGAAAAGGCACCTAGCAGTCAAAAAAGACAAAATAAGTACGTATCGAATTGCCAGATGTTTCAAGCTATCTCTGTTTGTATCCGTCTTTTGCTTTGTTTCTTAACATCTGTCGGGTCTTTGCTATGCCTCGTATGTGTACTGTCCTCAAGATTTCTTTTTTTTTTAATTACCCTTCAAGCATATGTGGTTTGATATGTTTTACCTGTTTTGGTAATGGATGTAGTAAAATACAGGGTGATTATCGACAAACACCCGGTCACAAACATCTACATATCAACAGTATACAAACCTGGTGTCTTTGATGAGTTGTTTTAGACTTGGTGAATCACTGTTATAATTGAAACGCGATTACTAAAACAACGCAAGTACAAACATTAGAACATTTTAGTTTTTGTATATTATGACATTACCTTTATAGAAAGGTAAGGATTCAGGGCTATAGACAATAACATAAAACTATGCCAGCTACAATTGTTGCAAGCTGGTCAACGCGTAAATTAAGCACTAGCAGAAAAAAGCTTTATTTAACAAAATGTTTATAATGAGTAAGCCTACAATAAGAAATGTAAATGTAAACGTAAGCTACCTATTTCAGAGCATTTCTATTATTTCTAATTTAATTAAGGCGATTGTAGTTAACTGGTGTTCAAATCTCGTGATCGGTTAGATAGAGACAAATCAGGTACCGATCAAAAACCGAGGGAACCAATGAACTAACGCCGGGTGGATTGACAGGGTAAGCATCTTCTGTTAAGCATGCATCAGCCGCCATTCGAATTCACACTCTGTTAACATGTATCAATCAGGAATAGGACACAATCAATTATCGTTGATACAAAACTAAGGTTCCAAATCTCAAAGGGAATTAACCTTAGATAAATTTGGCCTCGCTTTTAAGTCTTATTTTATCATATAGCGCTATAAGAATTCACGTTTTGTAACATTCCTGGCTTTAAAAAAATTTGGGTTTGGGCGATGCTGATGAAGGTAAATCCAGAAAAGCGTTTCATAAACGCACCAAATTTAAAAAAGTGATTTTAATATTCTAAATGCATTCTTAAAATGCTTCCCAATATTTATGCAGAAGCATGTTTTGCCAATCCAGACTACAATGGAACTCACATTAGACAATATTACAGATATGGACCAATGTATTATATATCGTAATCTGTTGAAAAGTGCAAAGTTTACAAAAAAATAAATATAATTAAAGTTCACTCTATTGCATTATTAAAAAAACCTGCATTGGGATTATAAATTTCAAGTTGGCCAGTAAACATCAACTAAGTCCAGTCGGTTATACTTGTGATTATGCTTTAAGTTTAAAGTACGCTGAATTTTTTTTGTTCCCATAATTCAACATGCTAGTAACCAACAAGTCACAGCTATCTCTATTTAGTATTGGGGAATAATAATATTTGTACAGTTAAAGTAGACGGTTAACCCATATATTACATTTTATTTTAATTTATTTGTATAAAAAAGATAAGTTAAAATTGCTTAGATGGAAACTATTTCACTTCATCTTGCCAGTAGAAAAGCACCTTTGCAAATCGAATACATTAACGGTACCAATTTTTCTGCACCAGATGCGCATTTTGACAATAAATGTCTCTTCTGTGAATATCAGTAAAATATTAGAAAATCCAAAGCTTATTAAAGATATGAAGAGCATACAAATCAAAAATGACAAAAGAGTAAAGCCAAAGTCGGGCAGGGAATAAAGTAATCTTTAAACTTGAGATCTATGTGAAAGTGGTGGATACCTAATACCACTATTTGAAAAATGTACATACAATGTACTTCAATGATTTTTGGAATAAGAATACATCCTTAATGTTTAAACTAAAATTATTACCTATGTGGTTGACCTTTAAAAACTTAGTATTTGGATAGAAAATGAAGATCAAACTTAAGCATACTTTCATAAAATTACTTCCTAACAATAATCCTATTTACTTCGTATAAGAATAATGTTGTCTCTAATAAAAAAAAAAGAAAATGACGTACGTATTTTATTTAAGAGTGAGTATGAATAGCGATATTATATTGATCAAAATAGAAACAATAAACCAAACAGTTTACCAGAAAATATTGTTAAGATATATATTTAAAAGTTATTGTTTTTTTATTAGTGCCTTCCACATTTGAATACTAGTAGATTAAATTAAACAAGAAAAAAATAGTAGTACACACTAAGATGTAAATGCATTAAATTGACATGGCCGTCGTGTGTATATCCATCTTTATATTATATACGAGATTTTTTTTACATCTGTACTTTTTCTATATTTGTAATATTTCTTACTCCGAAATATTTCTCACATGTTCACGAATTAACCGTCCAAATATTAATTGAAATATAAATATAAATCTCTTATTTGATATGACTTAAATATTAAAATTAAACTTGCAAAAAATATATAATAAAAATCAAAATTAGTTTCAGGGTCTTCGGAATAATTCCTTCTGCATTTAACATGAGACAGAAGATCTAGGTACGGTTCCACACAAAAACATTCAGTCAGTTGATAATTTTCGGTTACACGCCATTATTCCGACAGTCCATTAGTCCGACAGCTCATTAGTGCGACGGCCCATTGTTCCGACAGCCCATTGGTCCGACAACCTATTAGTCCGACAACCCAATAATCCGACAACCCATCAGTTCGACACTTAGAAATAATTATTGCGCGGCATCAGTGTAAAAAAAATATGTTTGTCTGTGTTATGGCCTGTGTTATTTCTTTTAGATAAAAACCGCAAATTAAAAAAATCGCACCTGCTCTATCCAAAAAAGATTTTTACAGTGTAGTGTACTACTTTTGGGACAAATTATATCAAAATTATAGAAAAGTCTATCGGCTCTAACTCAAAATATGGACAATTTTATGTTAAGGGGGTCTGTAATTCAGTTTGACAGCTTCAGACATACTAATTTTTGACCTTTTCAAACTGGACCAAATCACTACTTTACCTGAAAATTCATGCCCCAATTTTTTTTTACATGTAATTTGGAAGGTAGATGATTTTTTGCAAGTTATACACTGTCCATACTAAGGACTCTATTTGTATAACGAAAATCAAAGGACGATAACTGTGTCCCCGGAACTTATAACGTATATGTTATTACAGATGTACAGAAATAATTACGATATATTATATAGGTAGTTCGAATACTTTTTATACTCTTAATTCGAAATCTGTACATACGTAATTAAAATTTGTGTATAGAGGTATATTATTCAATTATTTATTTATATTATTCAATTATTTATTTTCGCGCCTTTACAGAAATCGTTTACTCAGTGTACTTACAGAATTAAAAAAAAAGAAATATTTCCGTATGGATAGACTTCGAATTCCGTAAATACGGAATTATATCGTAACAATTCTTTGCATACGCAAATACAGACTATACAGAATTTTAATTACGTATATATATGCAGAATTCGAATTACGTTATACAGGGAATTGTTCATACAGATTCTCATCAAACTATTTCCAACAAATTAGGAAACTTGAAATAGATATTTAACCAAATTTGATTACATAATACTTTTTATTTATTATTAGTGGCCAAAGTTATGTATACCACATGTATTGAAGAAATGAAATCAATTTTGTTTTAAATCGTTCTCAATTTTAAACTTGCATTGTTAGATTTCTTATATGCATTTCGCCATCTTGCAGTTCAGAGATGAAAAAAGAAGCAAACATTTCACTAAGTTCGTTAATAGTTAAATTGAGTTAATATGAGTTTATAATTTTTCTCTGTACCGATGTAATGCATTGTCTGTATAAGAATCAAAATATATATAGTCATTCAACCAGACATGGCAAAATTCAATATTTTAGGTGGGCAGATTTCTTTTTCTTTTTTTCTCTGTGTGTGTTTTTTTTTTTTTTTTTTGTCTTATAAAATCAAATACTTCTTTTTTACTTATCAGAGTTTGCATGTTTAGAAAAATGTTCAAAGATCTCGTATAATAAAAACTAATTGAAATTATTATATATAAACCGTAATAATTCTAATTTGATTCTAAACTCGGTTTCCTATTAAGATTACAAATTATTATACTATTGGAATTAGGCGTGGATATCGATCATCAAACATTGAAAACCTGTTGTGATCCGATATTTGATTATTTATGTACACAAGCTGGCGTGCAAAAACCAACATGTTCCTCGGAAATA